TATGAAAAAACAATGCTTTTATAATTCATTGTACTTGGATGTCATAATGACTTTAATGGATATTAATATGGCCATACAAGTTTCAGTTCAAAACTTGATATTTGCTGATGAAGCTTTTTCAATTGTTTCAACAGGAGGAGATTGTGTGTCACGGCCTTTATTGAGCTTTATATTTGAAAAACATTAACTTCACTGGGAAGGTGTACCTGGTGGGAAATCCTGCCATGGGTGTGGAGCTGATAAATAATGGTATTCGCACACAGGCATAGGGGTAAGTATATGGGTATATATATGGGGTTGTGCTAATACAGGCATTGATGGTAATCAGCATACAGGCCTAGTGTGTTGACTAGGGTTATATATGGTGTCTCGCAGATACAGTAACTGGGGATGAATTGGTGTATAAATATGGTAATCAGGCATGGGAATGGTGATAAATATGGTATCCTTTATGTACAGGCATTAGAGGTACTTTGGTGAATATATTTGGCACACTGATAGTTGTAAGTGTGTTGGTTAATGGGTTGTGATAAATTTGGTATTCAGTGTACAGGCGTACAGGTACAGGATAATAGATGGTTACATACATTTAGTATTTAGCAAGCAGGCATTGTGGTAAGTAATTAGATAATCATCAACATCTTGTCAAAGGAATATTTTAACTGTATTACAACAATCTGCAAGTGCAAAAGCAAATGTTGTCGAGAGTTGATGTGTTGGTAAATGTACTGGCAATTTATTTGTATTGATTTTGATTTGATAGAAAACCAGATCCATCCTGTTGCCAGTCTTGAATTTTGTATCATTTTTCATTCTGTTTGAGTTATATTCAATTGTTTAATTAATATGAAGTGAAAGAAGTGAAAATGTCCAATGTTTCAGCCTGACCAGGAAATGATAGATGACTTCTATCCAGAATGGTTGACAATGAAGTTGGATCCTGAGGTAAGTGACTGAGTGCCATGTATACCATGGCATGTTTGTATATAGTCAACATTCAAATTTTCAGTGGGCGGTGGGGCAGCCTAGTGGTTAATGCGTTCACTCATAACACCGAAGGCCAGGGTTTGATTCCCCACATGGTTGCATGTCCCCCGCCGTGATATTGCTGGAATATTGCTAAAAGCGGCGTAACCTAAACTCACTCACTCACTTAAATTTTCAGTGGCAGCCTTGATGGTCTAGTAGATACAGTGTCTGCCCAGATTTATCCTAGCATCTATGGTTCAGTTGATAAGAGCATCTGTACAGGGACAGGAAGGTCAATAGTTTCCATCCACAGCCATGCCGTAACAATGGTACCTTTAAAGATATGGGTTAGAACTGGTCTTCAGCTACCCATGCTTGTTGTAAGAGGCGAGTAACAGGATCGGGTGGTCAGACTCGCTGACTTGGTTGACACAAGTCATTGTATCCCAATTGCGTAGATCGATGCTCATGCTGTTGATCACTGGATTGTCTGGTCCACACTCGACTATTTACAAACCGCCGCCATATAGTTGTAATATTACTGAGTGTGGCGTAAAACTAAACTCACTCACTCACTCACATGGTATAAGTTGACCCTCTGCAGGTGTTATTATGCCAACACAATGGAAGTTAAAGATGGTACTTGATTGCATGCACATAAGAACCCGGCTTTTTGTTGACCTGTACCAGTTTGTGTTTGTTGTACTAGTCCCTGATGTGGTGGTGTGTCAGTATACCACATGTCTTTGTTACAATGTGTCACAAATATTGCCTCTAACTTGTGTTTCAAGTTTGGTGCTAAATGACGTAATCATTTCCCTTCTGACTTAGTGACAAACTGACTAGGGTTGCAATTCGCTGTGCAGAGTTGTGGCCCTTTGGGTATGCAAAACTTATGATCATGGCTCAAATCACAATTCACAAATAATTTTTCTAGGCTCACTATGCTCATGACGTGTGTTTGACTAAACTTTGAAATATTTGTGAACTGCATCACTTCAACCTTTCCTCTCACATCAAGATGACCCTTCCATGAGTAAATTAGAACGATGTTAAAACTGATTCATTGACTGACTCACACCTGACAAAACCTCAGTTTTTAACTGACTGTCATTGGAAGCATCACATTTATTTTGTTAAGTCATTTCTCAAGAAGAAGTAGCATGTCGTCCATATAACTGCCTAATTATACCTTTTATCTGCTGATATATAAACATGGTTCTTGTGATATTTTGTCAATGTAAGACTTTGTATCATTTCAGGTGAACTGTGTTATGGTTGGGTTTGACAAGTACTTGAGCTATCCCAAAATACTGAAAGCCAGCAGTTATCTGAAGAAACAAGATACTGTCTTCTTAGCAACAAATGAAGATAGCAATCTACCTGCGAAGGGGGGACATTGTTATTCCTGGTTAGTGTGTGTGGTTTATCTTGAAAACTGTGGAATGTTGCTGTCTACCAGTTGCTTGATGGAATGTAGACCTCCATGTCTACCTCAGCTTGTGTGAAAAAAGTGAGTGAGTGAGTATGGTTTACCACCGCTTTTAGCAATATTCTAGCAATATTGTGGTAGGGGGACACCAGAAATGGGCTTCACACATTGTACCCATGTGGGGAATCGAACCCGGGTCTTTGGCGTGAAGTGAAGCCCATTTCTGGTGTCCCCCGCCGTGATATTGCTGGAATATTGCTAAAAGCGGCGTAAAACCAAACTCAGTCAGTCAGTCAGTCTTTGGCGTGATGAGCGGACGCTTTAACCACAAGGCTACACCACCCTAGTGTGGAAAAATATAAAAAATTCCAGACAATCATTCCAAACAGACTTCGTGAATCTAACCAGATGTACTGGAGATACCAGCAGTAATGGAATCAAAATTGAATATGTCTGTGTATCCTCTGTTAAGACGGTTATGTATTAGATGACGGTTACACCTTGTATTGTAATGATCAGATTCCATAGTCCAAAGGCTAACACACAAAGATCATAGGTCAGACAATCTAGGTAGCGGGTCATTAATTTTGATTGTGACAAATTTGGTCAATCATTTTCCAGAGTCTTTCTTAATCATCTGTATGAACATTATACTTGGATTGATATGTTTATAAATCTTGAAAAGTCATGGTCTGGTGTTGGTGCTGATAATGTTATCAATCCAAAATGTGAGTGAGTGAGTTTAGTTTTACGCCACATCGACATTATTTCAGCCATATAGCGACGAGACCAAGTCTGCACACATATACAATTTAATTACAAAGTTCGGAGTAGTGAGTGAGTGCATTTTAGTTTTAAGCCGCTTTAAGCAATATTCCAGCAATATCACAGCGGGGGACACCAGAAATGAGTTTCACACATTGTACCCATGTGGGGTATCGAACACGGGTCTTCGGCATGACGAGCGAATGCTTTAACCACCAGGCTACCCAACCCTAGTGTGAAGAAAAAATTAAAAATTCCAGACTATCATTCCAAACAGACTTCATGAATTTAACCAGATGTACCACCCCAATCTAAAATGTGACAACTGCAGTTCATTATCACTGTTTATTGTCAAAGCGATCTTTACAATTGGTAGTATTAAAAACTCATTCAGATAATTTTTATATCTATAGTTGGGAGGAACAATTAACCAAGCTAAAAAACCAATGTAAGGCCTAAAGTCCAAGGCTTAACCATCATTTTATAAATAACAAATGATGCCTCCACATACTTTCTTTAAATTCTGTCATTGTCTGTGGTGTCTATAACTTATTTTGAAAAATGATTGTAGTATTATCCAGATACAGATTGTTCAGTGTTTTTAAGGAATGTAACATTAGTGCTCACACCCATTTTACATGTGCGGTAACCACTTGTTCTAGTATTGAGATGACACTATGGCTGTAACGATTCACTCGCATATTCGGTGAATCGAACCGTAGCCCTTCATGAATTCAATTCGTTATTCGTCATCACCAGAACAGAATATTAACGAATATTTATGATTTTTTTTAAGGGAGCATGTTTTATTTGAACCCTTGTGTACTTTTGGAAAGTGAGATATGCAAGGATTGAATATGTACTAGCCTTGCAGTAGCACAAGTCATGTTAGTTTGCCAAGGCCACACATGGTACTGTCGACTATAACTATTACATACCAAATTTGAGTGTCATGAGATCACTGGTTATTGCTGTGACAAATCAAAACTGTCAAAATGGGCCTTCCATATTCTACATCAATCACTTAACTACAATACTGTATTCATGAATAATTATTTGTATTCATTACTCAATATTCATGATACGTATCATATTTGCCACATAGTGTATTCGTTGCAGCCCTAGATGACACCTATAAGTTTCCTCCTTTACAGTTAATGTAACTTCTGAAATAGCAGTATAATGTAAATGTAAGACATGAAGCCTCAGAAGAAGTCTCGTGCTCCTTGACAATTGTCAGGAAATTTAAATTTGCCTGCAGTTGCGATACAGAAGATTTGATTGTAGCTGTGTATGACATTAGGTTCAGTGGGACAGCACCAGTTTCAGCTGGAGGCTGACTTTAACACTTCTGTTCCGCGGTTCCCAGCAACCAATGCTGTTCTTTAAGTCAGACTTGGCGTGACTGTATGATGGCATGTAATCATAACCCAGTGTCATGGATTATTGTTCACACTATCCAAATCACTTGATTGTTTTGTTGAGATCATTATTAACAGGGCACTATCATAAAGCTGGAGGGGCGGTGGGGTAGCCCAGTGGTTAAAGCGTTCGCTCGTCACGCCTAAGACCCGGGTTCGAATTGTATGAAGCTCATTTCTGGTGCCCCACCCCGTTATATTGCTGCAATATTGCTAAAAGCAGCGTAAAACCAAACTCACTCATAAAGCTGGAACACACACACATATTGATTCCATACTGACCATTCATCAGACCCAGCAGTAGTGCAAGAAAACTTTCAAAAGCAGACATTTGTACCCAATTTCCAACAAGACCTGGGATGGTGGGTTAGCCTAGTGGTTAAAGCGTTTGCATGTCACCCCGAAGACCTGGGTTCGATTTCCCACATGGGTGCAATGTGTAAAGCCCATTTCTGGTGTCAGCTGCCGTGATATTGTTGGAATATTGCTAAAAGCGACATAATCTAAACTCACTCACTCCAACATGACCCGTGTTCACTCGGCTACAAATTTGATACCAATTGGGCAAGAAGTAAATTGCAGATTGCCAGCAGAAAGTGGTGAAAGGGAGATAACTGTAGTTTAAACCTTCAGATTTATAGGTTACCAGACCGCAATCCATGTGACTAAAGTGAAAAAACCCAAAATAACTGCTGATCATTTGAAGCTGCAAAAAATGCAAATGTCGGAAATACCTGTCTTGTGTATGATGAATAAATGACAATTTATTCCACAGAACTTGCCTTTTGATTTTCAGGAACTGGAACAATGGTCCATGCGGTGAAATGTGCCAGCCGAAGGGATCCAATTGTTTTAGGAAAGCCAGAAAGGCCGATGTTTGATGTCCTACAAAAGGCACACAACCTTGACCCAGCTCGATGCTGTATGGTTGGTGACCGGTAAGAAAGTCCCCCTGTTGAGCATGCGTAGGGACTATTGTTAAGTTTGTAACACTCTTAATCAAAAGCTTGACTGGTGAAGATGTGAGTTAGAACTGTTCTTAAGCACTTGTTGAAGCACAGGCAAACTGTAGCGCCAATAGGGTTGTGCAACAAAGAGAAAATGAACAATCTTTGTATATGCGAGCGAAGCGAGCAAAGGTTTGCAACATAATGCAAAATATAATTTTTAAATATGAGGTTGGAAATCTAAGAGCACAATCCTGTGAGATAATGGGTGATATTCTATTTTGATATTAAAAATATTTTTTGAACCGAAGTGAGGGAAGTATGTTGCTAACCTTTGCTCGCTTCACTCGCATATAGATAGACTGGTAATTTTTCTCTCTGTTGCGCAGCCCTATTTGCGCTACAGCTTGCCTGTGGTTGAAAGTGGCAACTAATGGGATTGGGTTGTCAGGTGTGCTGACTTGGTTGATGCATGTCATTGTATGACAGTTGCATAAAATCATTGTCAATCATGCTCAGTTTGGAGTTACTTCCCTTCATTCATTGACGTTAATTAATGAAGGATTCCGAATATAACATCCACAGAACTTATAGCCGGTCACATGCTTAGTATAACATCAATAACGCGGACCTTAGCAACCTTGTGCATTTGTCAAATTTGGCATTTATGATTGAACAATTCAGAGGTTCAGATAAGTTGCGTATCTGCGTAAATTATGCAAATATTTATGTGAAAACTCAATTCCTATTAAGTCTATTGTGTACAAGTACGCTTGAATTTTTGTAAATAGTCAATAAATTTGGTGTTGCATTTGATCTTTGACAAAATGTTAAATCTAAGCCTGCATACTGGTGGATAGATAAAATAACTGAGGTATATTGAGATGTTCTATTTCAACACATGAACTTGGCGACTTGCAGTCTTTCTTATTATTCCTCATATTACAGATCAAATATAAATAACAAATAAGTAAACCAACATTTAAACTTTGTTATATTTTTACAATTAATGGAAAATGGAGTTTGAATGAGGTGGGTACAATTTAATTGGTTACTCAAAGGAAAATTAAGATACCCAATTGAAATGAACACAAGCGAGTACATTATAAGTTGTTCTCTGGTCTCGAGGGGGACATGGGCTGATGTACCCTCGATGTTTGTTTATGTTCCCAGAGCCCGAAGGGGGCGAGGGGAACATAAAGAAACATCGAGGGTACATCAACCCATGAGCCCCGAGGGACCAGTGAACAACGTATTTATCTTACCGAACACCTTAATGGTAAGTTTGAACTGTTTGAAGCACGGGTATCGGATCACAGTGTGGAGTACAAGACGACAAGAAATAAATAATTGAAAGGTATCTTCCTTCAATCGATCTGCATTTGCAAAACATTGGTAATTTCCTGACATCATATGTGATTCAATGTTATTCGAGATAAAGAATTACTACTACGAAGTATCAAATGAGTTCGGCATTCCCAGCGGGGTACATAGAAAATGTTACTCGCTTGTAAGCGGGGTACATTGAAAATAATAGAAGAGTGCTCAGTCAATCAGAAAAGACATTTATGCGTGAGGCAAGATAAAACTCAATGACCTATCTGTAGCTCTGGAACTTTATTACAAATAATATGATAACAAACTACTTAAAACGGAAGTGTGAAGGGAAAGGTGGTGAGGAATCGGGGGATAAGTCCTGACAAAAAGAAACTGACAGCGGTCACACCAAGAACTCTAGTAAAGCGGTAGGCAGTGTAGGTGTTACGTGTCAACTGAAGACGTGATTTTGAATTATTTATATGTTTTAGCTTATTGAAATTTCATTTAGCTTGTGCTTTAAAAAGTTAAGTTCAAACCCTGTGTCATTCACCTATTATAGAGCTGAGTGCATATGTTCACAACAAACCAACATGCATGGCACAGCACATCCAAAATAAACCCATATTGGCATTTCGACTGATTAGATTAGATTAAGTCCAGTTCGAAGTAAGCATGAAAGTAAAGGGTTTCTTGTCATACCCCAAAGATATTTACAGGCTGCAATATTATTATTGCAGTTCAAACAATCACTCACTCATGACAGTCAGGCAAAATCACAAATTACCTGTGCTTCAGAAACTTGAAATGGATATTTCTTAGTGTTTGTTTCAACCGTTTCAGAATCAACACTGACATAGGACTGGCCAAGGGGTGTGGGTTGAAGTCGCTTCTTGTACTGAGTGGTGTGTCGATGGAAGCAGATGTTAACCCTGAATCAAGCATCTTCTCCAAGGAGCAGTTTCCGGATTATTACACGTCAACTCTTGGGGACCTGGAGAAGCATCTCCAAAACTCACAACAAAAGAGTTGATGATGAATGAAGTTTAAGATATTAAATCATATTGTTTTTATTGTTTTTGACTTTTCGACAGGCCAGTGTTTTCTTCATCAGGGCTCGATTTAAGAGATGTTCACCTACTTGCACAGGGTGCAACCTAAGATAAAAACCTTGTTGCACCAGCCAAATTCCAGTTGCACTGCTTTTATTGCAAAATATAATGAAAGAAATATGTTATTGAATTATTGTTTTATTCAGAAATTTTACACACTCAAAAATTGACTTGCACTTGGTTCAGTTTAGACCAATAACCTGGTTGCACATTTCGTAATATAGGGTTGCACTAGTGCAAGTAACAAAGCACTTAATTGAGCCCTGTTTATTATTATTTATTTACTACTTTGTTCTGTTGCATGTGTTTTTTTCATTCTTTTCTCCACAACATGTATTGTCCATGCTTGACAATGGTACATGGAACTATACCTATTATGTTATATCTATAATAACAAACTTGTGATCCATTAACATTTTGTCTGATTTATAATGTTTTGTTAACTTTTTAAACCTGCCATACATTTGAATGGGTAATGTAAAGGTGCAGAGCATCATTTTTGAAAGACTTAGAAGTATTAAACAATCCTGTCGATTCTTGTGCAATAACTTTTTAAATTTGTTTTGAATGTTTGCCAGTGTTATTGTTTTTGTGAAATATCATGCTACTCAGGTGCTTCTGTCATAGGTGAGAAATAAGAATGTGAGCTTTTGGCAACCACTTAACATTGGTTTAGCTTCACATCTGACCATGGATCATTATACATATAAAGTTGTTTGTCTCGTTTTTCTGTCCATCAGTATATCCAGTTGTATGTTTGCTCAAGCAAAAATAAAACAGAGAAGTTTTCAATAGGCTGTCATGTTTTAAGTGTTTTATGCCTCAGGTGATCCTTTTAATAGTTGCAATAGTAGTGGTATAAATATTTAATTCGATTGTAGACCACTGACAGATTTGTTTGCACTGATTTCTCTCTGTAGTGACTTTGCGAGCAAAATGATCATATTTTAGATTTTGGAATATGTAATTTTGTGGGTATTTGCTAAGCATTTTATAAGTTTTCATTAGTTATTACAAATCATGGCAATATATATGTATATATGAATACCTATATAGGCAATACCTGTATATATGAATCCTATTGGAGGCGAATATGACACATGTCACTAATATTGGGTAACGAATATTGGATGGCAATTACAGTAACAAGTGAGCAGTTAATGATTGAATAATAGGAGCGAGGCAGTAACAAAATGATTATTTTAAATATTTTGACCATACTGACAGTGTTAATTTATCATGACAATGACAAGTGTCCCTATTACTATCAAATCAATTATATAAGAATGTTTGCTATTATCCTGCCTGCCTTGAATATATTCCACTTTGCATATGTCATTTTGATAATATAATTCAAGTTCACGAAAAAACACACCTTTTATAACATTAGTGAATATTTGATTCCAGTGATCATGAATAACAAACTGAATTCATGAATGAATACAGTTTGTTTCATGAAATAAGCATTTGAATTATTTAAAACCCTAATGTGTATGCATAATCATTGTCCCCAAAATCGACCATATAAGTTGTCTGTCTCTTTTTAACCGACTAAATAGTAATTATGATCAAATATCTTTTAGAGAATTTTGTGCTAATCACTTGCTCTAAGATTATGTCTGTCAAGTAAAATATAGTTAGATATGAGTATTATTTTACTTTGTGAATGATTTGGAATATGTAATCGTTTTCTTCTTTGTACCTGAAAAAGGTGAGTTACAGAACCATCAACGGTATCTATTTTGCAACTACAAAAAACTCAAATGTAGGACTTTTATCAGTATGTTACATAATATTATAATCTGTATCAATTGATAAGTTAAATGAATTTTAAAGTTTATGAATAATTCTTCAGAAAAATAATAATACATCTATGACTTTATGAATTACATATTATGATATAATCTGTAGGAATACATTTCAATACATGAAATAATAATTCTTCACTATTTTCGTTTTTGAATATTATGTCTGGAAAGCTGGTCAATGAAATATGGATCAGCAACCAACTGCTAAGTGGTCATTCTAACATGCAGTTTTATTGACAAGTTAAAATCTTGTCTTGTTGATAAGAAGCATTTTGAAATGGTTTATTGCCACAGATGAAACAGCTGAGATATTAAAATATACCACTGCACAAACAAGTGTCAATAGCGGGTATGGCCTCCGTTAGCTCCAATGACAGCTTGGCAGCGTCGTCTCATGCTTCCAACGAGGTTTTGAATGGGCGCGAAGATAGAGATTGTTCCATTCTTGGATCAGAACATTTTCAAGTTCCTGGAGGGTGGTTGGTTGTACAGGACGACGTGAAATCGCTACCTGAAGCATATTCCAGACATGCTCGATAGGGTTGAGGTCTGGAGAACGAGCTGGCCAGTCCATACGAACAATTGTCTCACATTCCAGGTACTTTCGTCCACCACCCTAGCACGATGTGGGCGTGCATTATCGTCCATGAGGATGAAGTCAGGACCAACAGCACCAGCATATGGTCTCACGCATACATCCAGGACTTCATCCCTGTAGCGCACTCGGTCATCGTGCCTCGCCTTAGGACATGGAGATCAGTTACGTCCAGCTCGACTGATTCCTCCCAAATCATCAACGACTCCACCACCATATCTGTCGTGTTCAGCAACATTAGCGTCCTGATATCGTTCTCCTGCCCTTCTCCCACACTCGTTCTGCCACGACGATCTGTGAAGTCAACACAAAACCTCGACTTCCGTCTGTGCCAAAAGTACAGGGCCCAATCAACAACCCTCCAATTCACATGAGCCCTGGCCCAATTCAAAGCGATCTTGTCTGTGTCGCTGAGTAAGAGGGATGCACGAATACAGGCTCTCCGAAACGAAGACCAGCTGCATGAAGACGATTATGCACAGTTTCAGCGTGGAAATGTTAACTCCAGTTGCATTCAGAAGATCATTTCTAAAGCGCGAGTCGCCGTTGCAAACCGATGAAAGCGTTGTGCTGAAATCAAGAGAAAAGCGGTCATCTTGCTGCGTGGTGGACCTTTCTCTGCCGCCTCCATGTCGATGAGAAGCTGAACCATGAGCTTGATACCGGTTCCAAGCTCTGCAAACAACGCTCTGACTGACACCCAATAGCTCTGCAACGCGTGGCGTTGTCTTGCACCATTTTCGAGCATTCCTATGCATCTGGCCAATTCTTCAACAGTCAAACGGCGTCTTTGACGTTGTGGGAGGCATTTTCATAGAGTAACAGTGACTTAAACGATGTCAGATGTAAAGACAATGTACCCAAATTCAAATCAACGACAAGCACTCAGAAATGTCAGAAAATGTGGGTACCATGCTTCACGTGCTACTCATGATCATTGCAGCATGCATTTCCCTACCTAACCTGTGTTTTTGAGGCTCAAGAGGGGTCAGTCCAACATTGTGATGAAATTTGGCGTGTCATATCAATTCATATATTGATTTTATAATGTAAGAACTATATGATCCTTATCAAACTTTGAGTAGTATATATTATGCCACTGATATGAAGTCAGCTGCATTTGTGTGTCCACCATTTGGTCAACTACCAACAGATGAGTGGGTTCTGGTGATACTTTTACATAGGTAAGAAAACATTTTTTTTCTACTTATATAATTGGAAAATGCACATGCATCCCTGTAAATAAACATAAAACTGAAGAAGGGGCACATGTCATCTTGCATATGTTTTTCCATCTGGTCAACTACTGTGTACCAACAGATGAGTGGGTTCTGTGACGCCTGATACAGGTGAATTGGTAAGCAGACAGTTTTCTCTTACATTTTCTATTGGAACATAAAAGTGTTGAAGGGCCTCCTTCCATCGTTCCATCTGTTCAACTACCAACAAGTGAGTGGGAACAGGAATGCCTGATACATGGACATTGGTATGGGAAACGATCTTCTTTTGCATTTTCTACTGGATAATGGACATGTGCGCAAGCATGAGAATATGAGTCTGTTGAAGCAAAACAGGCCACTTTCTTTCAAATATCTTACCATAAGGTCAACTACCAACAGATGAGTGGCTTCGTTAATCTTTAGCATTTTCTTTTGGCACATTTGTGTGCACCCCTGTAACATAACGTAAATCTGTTGAAGGGGCACACGCCACATTCTTTCATATGTCTTCCATCAGGTCAACTACCAACAGATGTGAGGTTTCTGTATTGTCTAATCCATGTACATTGGGGACAGTTTTCTTTAACGTTTGCCACTGGAAAATGTACATGCACCCCTGTAACAGAACGTAAATCTGTTGAAGGGGCAAATGTCACTTTCTTCACGTGTCTTCCATCAGGTCAACTACCAACAGATGTGAGGTTTCTGTATTGTCTGATCCATGTACATTGGGGACAGTTTTATTTAACGTTTGCCACTGGAAAATGTACATGCACCCCTGTAACAGAACGTAAATCTGTTGAAGGGGTACATGCCACTTTCTTCATATGTGTCTTCCATCAGGTCAACTACCAACAGATGTGAGGTTTCTGCCACCTCCTATCATGTGTCTTCCATCAGGTCAACTACCAACAGATGTGAGGTTTCTGCCACCTCCTATCATGTGTCTTCCATCAGGTCAACTACCAACAGATGTGAGGTTTCTGCCACCTCCTATCATGTGTCTTCCATCAGGTCAACTACCAACAGACGTGAGGTTTCTGCCACCTCCTATCATGTGTCTTCCATCAGGTCAACTACCAACAGATGTGAGGTTTCTGCCACCTCCTATCATGTGTCTTCCATCAGGTCAACTACCAACAGACATGAGGTTTCTGCCACCTCCTATCATGTGTCTTCCATCAGGTCAACTACCAACAGATGTGAGGTTTCTGCCACCTCCTATCATGTGTCTTCCATCAGGTCAACTACAGACAGATGTGAGGTTTCTGTATTGTCTAATCCATGTACATTGGGGACAGGTTTCTTTAACGTTTGCCACTGGAAAATGTACATGCACCCCTGTAACAGAACGTAAATCTGTTGAAGGGGCAAATGCCACTTTCTTCACGTGTCTTCCATCAGGTCAACTACCAACAGATGAGAGGTTTCTGGAATGCCTGATCCATGTACATTGGGAAGTGGACAGTTATCTTTTACATTTACTTTGGGGAAAATGTATGTGCACCCCTGTAACAATATAAATCTGTTGAAGGGGTACATGCCACTTTCTTTCATGTGTCTTCTTTCTTGTCAACTACCAACAGATGTGAGGTTTCTGTAATGTCTGAACGACGTGCATTTAGTTAGTGGAGAAGTTTCTTTTACACTTTCCTAAATGTACATCCAACTGTAGCAGAATGTAAATCTGTTGATGGGGCACATGCGCCTCCTTCCACATGTCTTCATTTCTTTCACATTTTCTATTGGAAAATGAACGTGCCTACTTCCAGGAATATAGATCCACAAGGCACCCCTTTCTGTGTCTTTCCATCAGCTCAACTTCCAGCTGATGAGGCCGCCTCCGTGGTGTAGTGGTTAGAGCGTCCGCCCGGAGAGCGGAAGGTCGCGGGTTCGATCCCCGACCGCGTCATACCAAAAGACGTTAAAATATGGTAGTTGTTGGTCCCTGCCTGGCGCTCGGCATTAATGGGTACAGCAAGGGCTGGTCGGCTCGGAGTCAGTATAATGTCTGAGTGGGGTATTCATGCTTCACTGCGGCATGATATCTCAGTGAGCTAGCACTATAAAACCAGCTTAAGTCTGGGCTAGTACAAGCAGCCGCACATACACATACACACGCATGCACATCGTCATATGAGCTAAATATTCTCAAGCACGACGTTAAGC